CCTTAGTTCAGGTCAGTTTCATCAATGGTAAGAAAAAAAAACTAGTTGACCAAGGATTGAGGTCGGTTTCAGTCCTCGATACATCGAGTCCCGACATGTAATGCAATCTTTTTACATAAAGGCAACTAGTGCCACAAAAGTACGATGGAGAATTAGGGCCAGGCCAGAGATTTTTAAATTAAAACTTTTCAGGATAAAGTAATACTACGAGAATTAAGTCGTTTCAGAAAGAGACCTTTGAAGTCCAACCAGCAGATGACGTCCGACCAGCTCCACCAATCAGCAACCTGAGTCCACTTTGACATCGAAAAAGATTTGGGCCAAAGCGTGATGCTCGACATTTCTCATTTTAGGGAAGAAAGTGCTTCTTGTAAGAGGTGTCAGAAAATACAACTTTATTCTCGTAATTTTATAACTTTATTCTTGTAGTGTTAAGACTTTATTCTCATAATTTTAGGACTTTATTTTTATAATGTTACGAGTTTATTCTCGCAATTTTATTTTATTCTCGTAATTTTACTACTTTATTCTCATAATTTTGCAACTTTGTTCTCATAATCTAAAACTTTGTTCTCGTGGTGTTGCGACTTTATTCTCATAATTTTATGACTTTATTCTCGTAATTTTGCGACTTTAGGCTCGTAATATTGTAACTTTATTCCCGTAATTTTCTCACTTAATTTTCGTAATGTTTCAATTTTATTCTCATGATTTTATGACTTTATTCTATTAATGTTAAGAGTTTGTTCTTATAATTATGACTTTATTCTCATAATGTTACGAGTTTATTCTTATAATTATATGACGTTAGTCTCATAATGGTACGAGTTTATTCTTGCAATTTTACAACTTTATTCTCGAAATAGAAAAAAAAAAATCTCTAGCCTGGCCCAAATACTATAGACACAATACTAAAGTCACTAACAGGAAAAAAAAATAAAAATTTCCCATGTTAAACTGAAATAAAATTAAAAAATCAGTTAAGTTTTTTTTTTTCCCAGTGGCCCTAATCCTCTTCCGTAGAATCAACTGGCTAAATCAGTTAAAAAACCACAGGAAAGTTTTTAAATGTGGAAAAATCAGATAAGATGCTTCTAAGCTACTACTACAAGTTTGAAGAATCAAATCTTTAATTTAAAAAATAAAATGTATAAACTCTGATAAATCACAATGAGTTTATATCTCAGGGTTGAAATCTTTTAAATAATCCATAAAATCTAAACTAAATCTGTTTTGGTTCAGTAAATTGGCTAATCTTAACGTAAATGTAAAGTGGAAAAATATATGTTTACATTACAGGTTGTATTTTATTTAATCAACTTCTGTATGAAGGATTGTCTGAAACAATCAGGCCTGCAAAACCATTACCATCTGATTATTAATTTTGGCCCCGGAGCTTCTTTTAATAATAATCTAAACTGGCAAACTGTTTTTAAAACTGATTTGTTGTTATAAAATATTTAAATCTAATTTTTTTTTGTACAAATATCGTTAGCTTTATGCTCATTACTGAGGATATCTATTTGCTTTTTCAAACCTGTGTAAAGAAAAAAGATTCAATGAATAAATAAAAATCATACCGAGCATCCTGGGTAGCCCTTCCTCATTCAGGTAAATATTAGAAAAGGAAACTATTTGCATAAAGTTGTTTCAATCCATGTTTTAAATGAAAATGTCAAACATACAAAAGAAAACAACACTGTATTCTTATTATTTTCTCATTTTCTTTTCTTTACAATACTTTCAGGTAACAATATACTTATCATCAACCCATGGCAAAACATTTCAATTCAAAGACGAGACTGAAGACGAGGACACAGCCGACGTATTTCTCTACATGAGATACAAATCATTTATGTGCGCTTTTATTTTTAAATCTTTTTTTTCCACAAACTTGAAAAATAAAAAAAACGAAAGCTTTAATAAGGAACAGTTTTCATCTTATTTTGTCAAATATTTAACCATTAACAGGACCGCGCTGTTCTTTCAGCTTCAATTCATCACTGTCTATTCTGTTTGATCTAGTTCTAGATGGTTTCAACGGCTGCAACCATGTTTTTTTTTTTATTAAACACATCTATATGAAAGCAGCCTCAGCCTCATTCCTGCTAACAGCTCAGTTAAAGTGACGACACGGATAAAATCATCATAAACGTCTCAGGTGAGCATAGAAAGTATTTTACAGAGGGGATCTCTCATAGAAGACGAGGTGTCCTTTCTCCCAGTGATGCATTTTATGGCTGCTTTCAGGCCACTTCTTCTTGTTCTGCTCCTCCTTTAGTCAGATGATTCCAAACTTCAGCTGAGCTTCCCAGCCCCTGGTGGGAGCACCGGGTTAAAGCTGGACCCCGCAGTAACGCCACATCCTGAGACCTGCAGACATGAAGACAAATTACTGCACACATTAACTCCTGTCTAAAAAGGTCATGCTTAACAACTCATGAAAGATTTCAGTATGAAATATTAAACATACTTTGAAATTTTAGTTGTTAAAGCTGATAAATATTGGTAGTTTATTGTCTTTTTTCCATTGTGATCCTTTGAACTGTAGAGGGTACAAAATAGCCTCTAATAATGATTAACCCTTGCAACCTTTCATATCCAAAGAGCCTTTTTGCCCCGAGTCCGGCCAAGTAAAAGTTGTTTAGAGCCACAAAGAATAACCCTTTATTTTTTTTTATCATCTCGTAAAGGAAATTAGTTGCCATATTATTATAACAACCAACAATTTATGTATTTTTAACTTTTAAAATAATGTTAGAAAAATGTCTCTAAAATGATTTTCTGGTTCTTTTAATGTCATTCCTTTCCATCTTATAAAACCCACTAAAGCTTTAAAGACTGGTATTTATTATAGTACATTATTTAGCTCTTCATGTACATTTTAGCCGCTATTAAGAGCCACTGTAGAGGGTTCAAAGAGCCACAGGTTACAGATCCCTGATCTACATCCAGCCATTTAGCAAATATCCTGCTGCATGGCTGTAGATCTTATTTTGACATTTGATCAATTAGATGAGACCATGAATGATAAATGACCTACTAGAAATTAAGTTGGGGTGGAAAAAAAGTTAGAAAGTTAGTAAGCCCAGTTTACAATTCTATTTAGGTTTATAAACTAAAAAATGGAAGTTCCAGTATCAGTATTCAGGGGCGGTTTTAGGAAATTTGGGGCCCTAGGCAGAGACAGGCAGGGGGCCCTCTGCATTGAGAAGACAACTTATAAAACAGACCCATTCTACAGATAGAGAGATGTTAATAGAATAGA